ATGTGGTTTTTGCAGCTCATTTATGATAATAAAATATATTCTTTTAAGATACAGTGAACAGACTTGAAAAATAGATCTTTCTTTCTATAAAAAGTGTATTAGTTAAGAAAACTAATTTTTGGAAAGTAAAACCACAGAATATATAATATCTTGCAAGTAGAACAGATTTAATAGTATCAATAAATTGTGGATATCCATACTTGTTTTTTATTTTTCTAGTTTCTTTTGGTGGAAAGAACTTGCATCTTTGGAATGTAGTTACAAAGTAACTACAGGAAAGTCCTAGTATTAACCAGGGTAAATTTCAGAGGTCTCAGAGTTTTCTAAGAAGTTTATTTTCTGGGTTTTCATGTGTGAGGCTGTGGGGAGGTTATTTTGGTTTTGGTTGTGGGGGTGTGGTGTGGTGGTTTTTTTTGTTGTTTTGGGGGTTTTTTTGGGGTGTGGTGGGGTGGGCTTAAGAAAAGAAAATACAAAGTTACTTTAAATTTTTTGGTTATGCTTATTCTCCCAAGACAGACATGTTCCATGTTAAAGTATTTTTGTCAATTGAAGCATGTGAATTTTGTTTATGTAAACTCATAATGTCTTGCAGATTCAGTAGCAGACAGACTATCTGTTTTCCTTAAAAGAGAGTTCTAATAGCAGGATTTTAGCATGAGAACTGGGGTGTGGGTTTGGCTTGTTTGTTTTTTCTTTTTCAGCCTCCATGGTCTTGAGAGGTAGACTTTATCTGGCATGCTGTGTACATGTTACTTCTGAGCACGTCTGTGTTTGCGTCCTTTGCTTGCCATTAACTTGCCAGGTACTGGTGGATTTGTCTTCCATGACAGTTACCTGAAAACATACTTTTTTGGGATGTTTTCCATTGCAAGAAAATAGGCTTGATGGCAAGACAGTCTGGTGTAATTGCCAAATATAGATACGTACTTTAAATGTGTACATATAAAAAACTTCCAGTTTCAATGAAAAAGAAAAAAGAAAAAAAAAGCAACCATGAAAGCAGAGCTGCTGTTGGTTAAAGTAAAAGTTTTGAGCCTCAGATGTGAGCTTACTGTGTGTTTCACATACGAGAATTTCTTTCAGATGTGATGTTATCAAAATGACAATGAAAGTGCTCAGCACTGACATATTGTAATGGTGACTATGCATTTTTTTCTTATTGTGATTGCTAAGTTAGCATACAGCTTGGAGTTTGGTTTTGTGTGTACTTTCTTTACTGTCCGTTAGTGATTCATGGGAGATAAAAGGGAAGACAATTTACAGTGAATACACTTCACTGCAGGTTCTGGTGCAATTAAGCTATGCATTACTGTACTGAGTTTAATTTGATTTCCTTGGTTTTATTTAAAGATGACTGTTCAGAGCATGTAGAAATTCCACCTGGATGGCTTGCAATATATAAGGAGTATACTCACTTTCCCCTGAAATACATGCATCAGTTTAAGTACAGGAATCTTAAAGAAGAGGCAAGAAGAGCTATGTAACAGTGCATGCAAAGTATTTGGTTAGTAACATTTATTTTTAATTCCCTCTTTCCATTATTAGGTAGATGATGGAGTGTAAATTTGATGATTAGGTGGCTTTCTACTGTGGTATGAAGTTACTGATATTTGCATGAAAATGAAAAAGGATTCCTCTAAGAGAGAAGACAGGGGAAGTGGGACAGGCACTGGCCCGATTTTAGTGAAGGGGATTTTTATTTATTTGCCTTTTTTTTTAAAATAGATGGCATTTTAGGTTTCTCTTCCCCCAAAATAGCAGATTTAGGATCACAAGAGTAAATGAATGCCTGAAATGGGAATGAGACACTGCTTTCTGGAAGAATCAGGAGCCACTTTCCATATCTGATGCGCAGCCGATACCTGAGATCAAGGAAAAAAGAGGGTTTTGTTTGGTGTACCTAGTGAAGAGTTTGCACAAGAAACATCATGACTACTTAATGTGTGATCTTCAGGGGCTGCAGTAAGGGAGGAAACCTCCAATCTGACAGTTGGCAAGAAAAAAAAGCACCGAAATCTGGAAGTTTCTTGATCCACATGAGGAGAACTGGGGCTGAGGCTGTTTATAAAAGAGGTCATAATCCCTTCATGTTTCTTGCAGAAGCACTGACGTCCAGTCACCTGTGCTAGCAGAATGGTGCTGGTATTGAGCATTAAGAGCACAGTACCAGAATTACTAATTCCCCTTTTACCCCTCATGCAGTTCACTACCCAATTTGTGTCAGTAAAATTTCCTCTGAATCCTGTTACAATGTCTGACTGGAGTTATTGCTGGCTTGGAGAGGCTGAGCATCTTGATATTCTTCTCATGCATATATATCAACTTAGTATTCAGGCAGATGGTCTCGTTATGAGTCCTCTGTAGTTTTAACAGGCACTCCCAGTAATGCCTAATAGACATGCCTGAATGTGAGGTCTGAATGAGATGGTGCCAGTTTGTTTCTTTAGCCCTTTTTCAGAGCAAAAGAAAATCACTTTGTGATAGTGCTTGCCATTCTGTGCAGTAGCTTTGTGGTTAGAGTATTTATCCAAGAAATAGTCTGGGTTTCATGTTATTCTGTTACATTTCAGTATGTCACAAAACTTACACGAAAGGTAAATATTGGAGGTGTATCCTCTGCCCTTTTGCGTAAGTTTTTCCAGTCAATGGCAAAGTTTCATAGGGCTGAAAAGATGGATCAGTGGAGAAGGTGAGTCAGTGGCTCAGTGACAAAGAATTCACCTATGAGGGATGCAAATACATGTCACATAAGGCATGTCTGTGTTTTTCTGGGGAGAGAGGAAGAGGTGAAAATTGTATATAACTTCTTGCAGTCCATTTAATTTACCTTAGTGTTGGTAGCATTATCACAGCGAGTGCGGCTTTCTGATTTGGAACTTGACCTGTCTGGAGAAATTTCCCATGCAAAAGCTGCCTGTTTCTGCTGTGCAGGTAGGAGGGTGGAGACAATGTGAAAAGGCAGAGGAAGATTGCACGTAATCCAGTGAATATCACCTTGAAGTTTAACTAGTCAACACTCCCTGCTCTCCTCTGTTCCTCTCCAACTTGAGGCTTTTTTTTAATTGTTGTTGTTGGTCTTTTAAATGCAGAAGAACTGATGTTAATTTACACTCTGCTCTGCTACCACTGGCAGGCAAGTGGCATTAAATGTGTTTAAAAAGTATGTTTAAATTGAGACTTATGCACCTTCTGCCTTTACCTTCCTCTGTCAATCCTTTATTCAAAATTAACATAATGTTGAAAGTTTTTAAAATAGTTCAGAAGTGGCTTTTTTGCATCACCTACTAAAATGTTAAAGAGTTTTTGTTACTTAGTATGCATAAAAGTTCCACCACGACTCTCTGGATTGCTGATATATGCATTTCTATCTCTTTTCTTTTTTCCCCTGCTCCTTGGCACTGTTGTTTTGCAGAGGTCCTTCTGCTTTTTCTTATCTGCTTGTCTTTTCCCCTGGACCTGGAGCATTTGCACATTAGTGCTTGCTAAAATACTTTGCGGTGACTTTAGAGCAAAACAAATTAAGACCTCACAGTTCAAGATAGTTCAGCTCTGTAGCTGGCTCCACTGGTACAGCAGTTCAGTACAGTATAATATATAGACACTCTTGGCACTGGCAGACTGTTCATCATCTGTCTGACAGCGGGTCAATGCTGCAAGCAAAACAGCACTTGGCTTCTTGAATTGAAGAATCTAATATTTTCACCCCTGGTTTGAATAATCGAGACTTTATAGTTTGTGAAATTGTCTGCATTGTGGTAGACACAGCTATTCTTTTGTAACTATTGATTTTCTTTAAAGGAAGTCAAGAGAGTTTACACTTGAAAGGTATTTCGACAAATCTAGGACACCTGTTAACTTAAGTCAAGCTGGAATTCTTGTGAAAAGCTGAGCATTTGCTTCCTGGCTGCCGGGAGAAGATTCTGTTCTCAGGTAAGTCTGGAAATAAGCTTGCTTCATACTTCATCTGCTTTAGGCTATTAGCAATTGCAGAGTGGAATTTACCAGTAATAAAAACCTGATTATTTTATGTGCTGAACAACAAGGATTTTTGAGAGGTTTTCCAAATTTCTCTTTGGGGGTGGGAGGGCGCGCTATGTGTGTGTGCTTGACTGAATTTCTTGCCTGCGTTTCCCAAGAGAACAAGTGCTTTATCTTATCCGTTCTCACCACCCATATATTTGAACATCCTTTTTTTCACTTTACTCTGTCTTCTAACTTAAAACTAACCACTGGGCCCTTTGAGGACACTGTTTGTTTTGGTTTGGTTTTTTTCACAGTGGGAGTATTTGTCATCATGCTAGATCTCACATGCAAGTACTGAGGTTCAGCTAATGGTCCTGTAGATTGCAACCTTAATTGCTTGGAGGCACCATTTGAGGAAGCAGTGTACTCTGAGGACACTACGCCCTTAAAAGGATAGGAAAATTGAGTCCTTAGCACGATATGGTTTCTGTCCAAGAAACGTATTCAGGTCTTGCTTAAATAAGAACACCAAACACTCCATGTTTCTCACTGCCTCTAGTCCTAGTTATCTTATAGATATATGAATTGGCAGTCAAAAAGAAGTATGTTGTGGCATCTCACAACATTGTCAAGTAAGTTTAAAGAAGTATATTTACTGGGTCCATCAGTAGCTTTGTTTGATAAAATTCAGCCATGGACATGAAAATATTGTCTGCTAAGCAACTGTTATAAATTTCTGTTTTATTATAATCAGACTCTCTGAGCTTGGTAGGACTGAGTTATAATGCAGAATCATACTCCATACCTATATTGTAATAGTTTATTTTAAAAGTTGGATCAAACAGATTGAAGAGAGCTTGTCACAGTGTGAAGAAATGCAATCAATGCAAATTAACTTATTTAACATTTCTAGTGTAGAAGCATCCAATATGATGGTAGCATTTCACCATTAAAGAACAAAAGATGTTGATAATTTGTAGTTGTTTAATATCTTCCAGGTTATCAGAGATGGTGATTTGAAGAATCAGGTTTCCGATATGAACAAAATAAAAACATCATCTGAAAAAAGGTAAATTTGAAACTACAGTGACTTCTCAATATCAAGCTATTTCAGATTTGTGAAAAAGCAGTCTTTGTCTTAATAATAAGACAAATAAAATATACATTATGTGTCCCTGTAAGAATCTGTAAGTTGATGTCCTGAAACACTGAACAAGTCAATATCGATTGGCATAAATTAGCTTCACATTTAATAAATGACTTTTTAAATTTAAAATTTTCAGTTAGTTAGGCATATTCAAATATAAAATATACATTAAATTTCTTTGAAACAATTATCAATTAATTTAATAATTTCATGCAAATATCAGCAAAACATAATATTATTTCTACTGAAGGAATTAAAGAACAAGTTTATAATACTGTATAAGGAGCCATGAATTTGTCATAAGATGTGTATCATTCTCCAACAGCCCTGCAATCCAACACACAGCTAGGACAAATGAGTGATATTACAGAAGATTTCAAGAGCTGAAAAGTTGTGTTTGTTTTCATAATAACTTGTTTCAGTAAATATTCGAAAAAGTTGTGAGGTTATCTGTGGAGGGCAATGTGTCTGTTAAGCATCAGGAAACTACTGAAAGGCTTTCAGTCTTACTCTTTTCTTAAGCTAGCACAGGTTAAACCGCCTTGTTAAAACAAACCATCTAATCAGATTTAAAAAAAAAAACTAAAGGTGGTAAAATAGGGAATTTTATCTTCATTCTTAGTTCTCTGAAATACCTATTATTTTCTAAATGAGTGGATGACTTCAAGAAGGACATGATCTACTGTGGATTGATTTTGGAATTCCAATATCTTGGAGTGGATTTAAAATTTGAATTTAAATGCTTGCATGTAGAATTATCTTTGCTTTTGCTAACTTAACAGTGGAATGGCTTGATATGAGACACTGGTTGTTCCTGTTTGTGTGAGAGATGGATCAAAAGAAATAGTAAAGAAACTTCAGTTTTCTTCTTATGGTATATTAGTTCCTTAGGCGTTATAATAAGCAAAGTCAAACTCTCTGTCGGCAATGGGTATTCTTGGAAATACTACTAATTATACTGTCACAGAGAATATTAGATTTTTGCAGAGTGGCTACTTAAGTGCCATTTCTTCTTCTTTAGTTATTGGGTTAAAATGAAAGTTTCCATCCCTGCAATTCAAAACAGCTGTTCCCTAAGTCATGATAAATTATAGTGAGTTTATCGTACAGAGGTAACTGTGAACTAATCAGAAGTATCAGCTCTCCAGAGATTATTTCATAACTGTGGATGTGGTTGTGAAAAAAAAAGATTTGGAAATGATTTGCATTGGACTAAAAGGAAAAAAAACTCATGAGAAGCCTGCCTGCTTTAAAACAGTTTTTTAAAGACTCACGGTAACATGCGGAAACACAGACCTGTTTGCTGTGGGGGGAGAAGACAGTCCCTGTTATGTCAGTGTGCTGGCTGGCTGCAAACAGCGGTTTCAGAGGAAGCAGGTACAGGTGGAAAACAAAGGTTTCTGATTACTTCCTTCACTTGACTATGATCTTTTGGAAGACTTCATGCAAGACGAATAGCCGAAAACCGAAAACCCTTCTAAGATAACTACATTTTTGTAAGCTGCCATGACAGCCATTAGAGTTGTCTTTCTCATCATTAGCATTTAGAAAGGTATAATGATGTGTTTTAAAATTTGCATAGTGAAAGTAGTGTACAGTGAGTAATGGAGAGTTGTGAATCTAGCATTTTTCATAATCAGAGTAAGAATGCTTAAACCTTTTTGGAGCTGGTGGGAGTGGAAGAAATGTCCCTGCAGTGAGGGAACTTTCTTTGAGAAGATGTTTTTCCCTCTTGAGGGAGTTCTCTTTCAAACCTGGACCCCTGAAGTCCTCTATTCCTCACTATCTGGGCAGTTGCTTCCTCTATATCTAATTATAGCTTTCCTAGCCAGAGAAGGAGGAAATCCACAAAGCTCTCTGGTTAGCTAGAGTCACACTGTACACTTTGGCAACCGTTGAGATGATGGTGAGCTTGTTCATGTTTCCTTTCTGCAAGCAAGATGGTGGTGTGAGGGGCATTTTGAGCTGCAGCATTTGAATGTGGCATGGAGAAAGGGTTTCCTGCCTACGGACAAGTGCAGTGTATGTGATCAAATAAGCCTAGTAAATGTCACCTCAGGATGCTTAAATAAAGTTTAAATCCATCCCAGAATAATAATTATTGGCTGTCTTCAGAACCCATGAGATTTGGATTAAGTAGTGAAACACACCAATGGCAAACCTAGTGGTTCCGTCTGTGGGAGTCAGGGAGCAGAAACTGAGTAGCTATAGATCAGCCATCTTCTCTTCTTTGCACAGAAGGATCCTGGAAGAACTAACCAAATGGGTGAACAGCAAAAGGTGGTTTGAGTTGTTCTTGAAAATGCATCTGACTTTTCATGTGTGAGAGAGTAATGGGTCCCACGAGCAGGAAGGTGGCATTAAAATACCACATGTGTTTAAAGCTCTACTAAAGTAATGATTGCATATGTTTGCCATCAGGAGGCTAAGGCAAGTGCTCCATCCAGGTGCTCTGGAGTAGAGCACTGGCTACATACCAGAGCAGTGGTAGTTGATTGCTGTCAGAAGGAAACGGTGCACCGTTTGTTTCTGGATGTGCTCTTTCTTTCTCTTTCTGGTTACAGTTCATGATTGAAAATATTTTGAGCTTCGACTAATGATCTGAAAGAGAAGAAGGAATTCTTGTTAAAAGTGCAGACAACTTGAGGCTGCAAAAATATGCAGAAATACTGGAGGACCAAATTATTTCAAAGTACTCTTGTGAAATGCAGAAAATGTTAAGAATCTTTGATGGAAATATGTGCAAAGTACTGTGCTTAGAGAGGTGTACCACTGGAACAGATAAAGGACAGTCACATTTGTAGTGAGGAGAGCCAGAAATAGTAAGATTAAACTGCAGGGAGAGAAACTTTCAAATGAAGGTATAAAAAATGTTAGAATGAAGTTGCCTTTGGTTATTGAATCGCCATTTTTGCAGGCTGTTAAGGACTGGTTGGGCATATGTCTGTCATGAAGAGCAGCTGTGGAGTGAGTTCATCCCACTCTGAAGAGAATAGTTTGTATGGCCCAAAGAACTTTCTATTTTTTGATAGTAGAGACTCTGTGTAACCCTCAGTGACTACAGAGTGCTCCTGGGAGAAGGCTTAAGAATGGGTGGGGTGAGAAATGTCTCTTTTAGTAACAAGAAGGGTATTCACATTGTGGGAAAACAAGTCTTGTATGAAGAGCTGGCCACAATGTTCAGGCTGTTAATGTAAGGTTCTGCAATGTCAGCAGCTTAAGAGGAAATCTAGCTCTGACAGGACCGTTTTTATTGTGCCACTCTGACCATTTCCTTGTTTTACCTACCTGATGGATTAAAAATATGGAATTCCATGGTGCGCCTCTGTTTTGGAGAGCTGTCTTCTAGATTTGGATCCTGAATGGGCGGTTAGTCAAACTGTATGTATTTGCATTACAAATATCAGAAAGAGTCCCATTGCAAATTAGGCTTCTATTTTGTTCTTAGGTCAAATAGGTTGTCGCAGCAGTATTATGTATATGAGCAGAGTCAGTCGGGCTGGCTGCCGTAACTCCTGACCTGCAGCCTTTGGATTTACTGTGCAGACATTGAAAGCTGTCACAGTATTATAACTACTATGTATATTAGTATAGAATATTGATAAATAGGAGTACAATTCTTGTTTTAAGAAGAAAACTCAGTCATAACTAAGAGGAAATAAGGACTTTATATTTCAGCATAGACTCTGGGCTGGTGTTATTTTTCAAGAACACTTTATTGGATATGCTGAAGACGTGAAGTTTATTTGGCTATATTTCTCTTGGAAGACTTCTTGCAAGATGAATAGCCTAAAACCATTCTAAAGATACCTCTTTAACTGCTACAATGAGGACTCATTGCTCTTGATAGAAACTCTAGCCTCAGGAAGAGGTTATACCTCTAAATCTTAGGAATTAAATTGTTATACCACCCAGTAGTGAGAATGACTTAGCCTTCCTAAACCTTTTAAAGGTTTTTGTAAGTATGAACAAATTATGTTAGATGCTAACTTTCTATATATGGTATATTACTTCCATGTGCCAGTGTTGCTTGAATTTTGCAGGCTGCAGCAGTCAAAAATCAGGTTTGCGCTGAAATTTTAATGCCTGTAAATGAGATTTGTCTTTACAAAACCTTGTATTTTTGATTTTTCTTTGTTCCTAAGGATCATCTTTTCTATCTTGGGTTGTTTCTAGCTTTCAAGCTACATTTATTTCATTGTGAGACCAATGATCGACCACATTGGAAATTATATGTATATACATGCACAAATTGGAGCAGCAGTTCTCTTATGCATTGGCTTATCTGTGGGTTGACTGGACTCTTACTTGTTTTAATTGTGGAGCTGATAAAGATAACCTACTTTGGAAGTTTGTCAGTTCATATACCAGATCAACAAATCTTGTGGATTTTACTAAAACCTTGGGTTTATTTTGGAGTATTTCAAGTTCAGTGAATAAATGCAGGAGTAGAAATAAACAAAACAAAGCATATGCAAATAGTAACCGCCTTATGCTATTCAGCTGGGTTTTGGATGATGAGAAAGGATTGGAGGGATTATACTTTGCTTATACAAGGAAAGTAATATTTCAGCAACAAGACAGATTCATTTTAGATCAAAAAGTACTTTTAAATCCAAGTCTAGCAAATAACTGAGAAGGTGATACACTTATTTCACAATAAAATTTTGATTTAAGCTCTATAATTAGTATAACCATTTCTTATTACTGATGTTAACAGCTTATAAGTATCATCTGTAATCTGAAATTGGTTTTTGTTTATGCTTCTCATTTAGATGTCAGTGTGGAAAAATGAAAGTAGTGGAAGCAGTTTCCTCAGCAGCTGTTACATCAAATTGCTTTCATGGCAGTACAACCTTTGCTGTCAACTACCTTTTTTCCTTGATTTTAACGTATTTTTTTTCCACATCTAAACTAATTGTTTTAGTAGAGTTAACTGTAAGTGTGAAACCTTTTCACAGATGTAAAATACAAATCAAGGACTAATACTTCCTCATTGTTGTAAACAAAACTGACAGTATTTATAAAGCTAATGTTGTATACTTTAGTTTTAGCGCAGATAGTCAGAACAGCATGTGTGTAAAATGAATTATTGTTGATTGTTACATGATTCTAATGTTACTAAAGTGAAAAGTCAAGGTAGTTAATCCTTAGAAGTCATCATTTCCTGTAGTTAATTACATGACTATAATTCAAATGTTAACCATTTGTCTGAAAATTACTTTTATGTGGGAACATGAATCTCAAAACTATTCTGAATAATTGTTATCATCTAGAACGGGAGAGCAAATAAAAAAATTTCTAAACTGACTCTATTTTGAATACTATAGATATTTACGTTCATTCTTTCTCTGTAATCTACCTATCTATATGAATGCCTGGTTTGAAATTGTTTCTTATATTAAAATATATTTTCAAGGCAATTCTGTGATGTTGTCCTGGTTTTGGCTAAAACAGGACCAATTCTCCTTTCAGTAGATTTTCCTTCAGTTAAGTTTCTTCTAAGTAACTGCACTTTCTGAAGTTGACTAAACGTTTTTCAGACAGTGTCTACTTTTAGAATTGATAATGCTTGCTGTTTATAGTTGTTACCACGGTAACGGTAGGATTGGTACTCAGAAAGGCCCATGTTTATACTTGTTCCTGTGGGAACCAAGGTCACTGTTGGCTCTGTTATGGTCCACAAAGTGAAAAGGCCTAAAAAAGTTGCATCAGTGGGAAGGAGCGGATGGGACAGGTGGCCAAAAATTGACCAACAAGGTATTCAGTCCTATACACATCATACTCAGTATAAAGCTAAGGGATCATGGGGGTCGGTCCTTCTTCTTTCATGGTTGGCATCCCTGTGGGACTCTGCTCATTGTCCTGTCTCCAGTCCCAGTCTATGTATTCCTGAATCTCATTCGCGTCTGCTGCGGAGTCCAGTCCAGGACATCCTGGTGCCTGCCATGCTGCGTTAGTGGTGCAAGCCACTGTGGCTCACAATTCCGTAATCACCATTGGGAAGCTCAATATTGGTTTTATATATTTTAATTTCTGTTATTAGTAGTATTAATATTATTCTACTCTTTTTAATTGTTATTGTTTTACTAAAGTTGTTTTAATTTTCCAACCCATAGGTCTCTCTGCCTTTTCTCTTTTTCTTTCCATTCTAGGCACGGAGGGGGTTAATAGCATCTGTCACCCGCTTTAATTGCCAGCCCAGCCTTAAATGGTGACGGATCTCAGGCCAAAATACCCTTGTATTCAAAATGAGTCCAAACTCTGATAGCTTTGGACACCTTCCAAAGTTTTTCTTCAAAATGATGTTCTTTTTCTTCAGCTAGTGGGTGCTGTTTTGCGCACTTCATGAATGATAATCTTTTCTTTCACTTCCAAAACACCAGCCTGTTAGACAAACAGTCTTTGAGACTGTAGCCAGTTTTTCCTTGAATGGCAGGTTTGATACAGTATCCTGGTGCTTAACAGAACCTATATTAAATATAAATTACTCTAATTGACATAGATAAACAACATTTGTACCTATATCTAGATTTTATTTTCTGCAACCAATTGCCCTGTTCACAGTTGCTCTTGGAGATGCTGTTATATATAATTAGTCTGCTGCAATGCAGTCTTTGCAAAATCTGTAAATTTGCCAAAATTAAGGAAAATTAAGACTGTTTTCCAATCTAGATAAAATAGGAAGGTGAATTAGCCACTCTCCTTACTCTGACACGGGGTTTCTGTTGTTAGTCTTTTTTTTTCTCTGATCTAGATGGAAAAATGAATGTAAAAAATATTTCTTGTAGTGTTTCTACTAGTTCTCGGACTATGTCTCTGCTGTCACAGCTGGAGAAGATCAATTTGGACTCTGTATTAGGAGAAGCAGACAATGCCAGATATGTTACCTCAAAGATTCTTCATCTGGTTCAGAGTCAAGGTAAGTATCTTAAGGTTCGTGGGTTTAGATTTCCTTTTGAGCATTCCTTCTTGTGTTTCTTCCTTGCTGGACTTTTCTTTAATTGTTGTTTCAGTGTGGTGAACTTGATTATCCATCTATTTTTGTCACTGATTGTTGAAAGCACCTGTTTAAGGCCAGGTTTAATGCTATTTGGTACAGTATTGCTTACACTGAGCACATTTTTTTATTGTCAAACAGCTATAATTTAAGTAATAATTCACAGTGTATATATATGTGTATACATATATGTATGTGAAGTAGAAGTATCTGGAAGAGAGCTTTCTTACAGATTTTTTTTTTTTGCTTTACAGTTTTTTTCTAGGGCAGATTGTTGAACAAGTGAAAGCAAAAATGAGTTTTACAATCACTGAAGTCTTTTACTTATCTTAGTTTTATATACACATATGCAGTTTTTAATAGATTGTGTTATTTGCAGCGTGGATTTTCTGATAAATCTGTATATAATCATTTTTTTTTTTTTGCCTGCAAGCTAGCGTATTAAAAAAAATGGTCTTTTTCTCTCTGGCAGAAAAAACCAGGAAGGAGATGACTTCTAAGGGCTCCACTGGAATAGAAGTTATCCTGTCAACCCTAGAGGTAAAACCTTTTAATCTGTGTGGTTATGGGTACATAGCAAGTTTCCATTTTATCATTGGTCTTCATATTACTAAATATGTTGTTATCCTAGCTAGTCTTCAAAAGTTGTGTAGGACTCTAATGATGAGATACGGTCTTTTCTCTCCCTCATTTTTAAATATTCTAAGAAATTATTTGTCAACTATCAGTTCTAATGAGTGTGCCAAACTACAAATGAGACTTTAATTGGTTTTGTGGTTAATTCAGGCTGCACAGTGGGATGGTTAGCTGGGTGGTTACCTCTTAAGTTCTGTTTGATTTAATGGTGGCAATTTCTCTGAGCTTTAAATATCTAAACCACTGCACTAGACTTCTGTGTTAAGCAAAGAAATATCTCTGGTTTTTATTGCAGAATACAAAAGATCCTCAAACTATTCTAAATATATTGAATATTCTCATTGAGGTGGTCTCAGTTGGTAAGTTTTCATTAAGGAGCAATTTGTAATTATAGTCCTGAATTCTTCTGCAGTTGGTTGGGATGTGTTTGTTTGTTTGTGGTTTGTTTGGGTTTTTTGTTTGTTTGTTTCTGATGTTTGCTAAAGCTAATTTGTATGCAGAGTAAAAAGAACATAGAGACTGAAGTCACCTTTCAAATAATCATACGCAAATAATTTATGTTACTATAAGTCTAAGTCCAATGTGTTCTTGCATAGTTCAGTCACATATGAAGAAAATATTGCTGTTCTAAAGACTTTCTTTATGATAATCATAGCTTAGATACTTTTAATTGTTCTTTGGCTTTGGAGATACCAGTTGATCAGTTGATTTTTTTTTTTTTTTTTTTTTTACCTTCAAGTCCTAATGACCTAGGTGGTGGTCGGAGAGCAAGTGTCTTAGTCACTAAAGGAGGGACACAGATCTTATTGCAGCTGCTTTTGACTGCCAGCAAAGACTCTCCACCAAATGAAGAATTAATGGTGCTTGTTCATACTCTTCTTGCAAAAATTGGTCCAAAAGGTGATAATGATATACTTGAGTAATATAGCTTAATACTTTACAGTTTTATAATTGAAACTTAAGAAGAATTTTCATTCTATTATTGTATAAGCATCCGCCTATATAGAATTGGTAGAGGAGAACAAAAGGAGGAATAAAATAGAGGGAAGGAAAGAATGGTGAAAAATAGATATGCAGGGTTGACATAATCAGTAGAAGGAATTCGCAGTTCGTCTAACTTTTATTTTTTGGTAATAATTTCCAAATTAATGTGATTGATCATGTATTTCTTTGATGTCAGACAAAAAGATTGGCATAAAAGCAAGAATTAATGGTGCCCTGAACATATCATTGAATTTAGTGAAGCAGAATTTGCAGAACCACAGGCTAATATTGCCATGTCTTCAAGTATTAAGAGTTTACTCAACCAACTGTAAGTATGCAGATAATTATTTTCTTTCCCATGTGATATAAAATTTTGTACTTAGATACAGTTAAAATAGTGAATCTAAATGCTTGTTTAATGTTAGATAAAAGTAATTATTTTTATCTGAGAATTTGCTTTTTATATCCTCAAATTGCTTAAGTTCTATTAAAAGCTATGAAGCATGTTTGTACTTCTTGTGTATCTTTGGTTTTTGTTCTCTCTGTGTGTACATATATATTCGGGGGGGTTGTTAAGCAGTGCTATTGGATGTGTGGAATTTTGAGTCATCTAATTTGCATGAATGCTTATGCTTTAGGATCTAAACCAAAAATGCTAACATTGAGCTTGCAAAAGCACTTCAAATTAAATAATTATTCTCTTTATTATACATGCTCCTGTTTTTTTCTTTTTCCTTTTCTTATTTTATTTCATTCTTGATTGCTTATTTAAAACTTGATTTACACTGGAAATATCTTATTTCATTATTTAGCCTTTCTCTTATTCCTTGTGTTGAAGTGCCCAACTGTTGGACTAATATTCTTCCACAAAAGCTTAATTTGTTGTTTGGACAGGCAATAGGAAGTTGATGAAAACAGTGTCATTCTTGCTGTATCTGTACTGTTGGTTAGATGCTCTTAAGTTTTTCTTTTGAGCTCAAAATGGCCATTAAACCTCTTAAATGAGTGCAAGAAACTGAAAACATAACCACATTCATCCAAGAGAACTGATTTGATGATCTGTAAGATTATTTTTTCAGGACATTCACATGAGCACCTATAATTCATAAAGTCCTAATACTCTTAAAATGTGTAAGCATTATTTCTGTTGAGCTGTCTGATAATGAGGTAAAATGCTTCTAAATGGAAGAGTTTAATACAGATAGTACATAGCTTAGCTGAAAACTTGCTTCATCCTGAAAATGGGAAATTGAACAGAGTCTCTGATTTGGATTCTGCTTAGATTGAATCTATCTTTCTGTATTTCCCACTCTTTATAAACAGAAAAAGTAGTAGTTTATTACATTCTGATGGGTAATACTATTTAAAGTTTGTGTACAGTTACTACCAGAATAGAATCCTAACTTTTCTTCGATTCTAGTAGTATAATGTTGCTGCTAATGATGATGAAATTGCAACTTGGGTTTAAGTACTAAATGCCACACTAATAACATTCTTTATGTTGAAGTAAGCTCTTAGGAGTGCATTTTGCTAAACTCAGTTGGGAATTGAATTTCTGTGCCTGTTTCAGCAGTTTTGTATTTTCAGTGGACATTGGGCTTCAGCCATATACACATCCAGTGTGCATTTCTTGAACGTAGGTTTTAGTGTAATTTCTTTTAATTTGCTCCCTTTCAAATAGATTATTTCTGTACTTTTTTTTTCTGAGCACTTATATGCATAACATGTAGCTCAGGAAAGCATATACTGATTGACATTTCTAAATTTTACAGTGAATGCTTGGTTTTCAAATTGTGGTGGGCATACCTGTCTATCCCGATACTGAATGATAATAGCAAGTCATAGAACTTGTTAGACTTTAAATTTTAGAACCGTGCTGTGTTGATAAACTGTGAGGATTTTGGGGGAAAAAAAATTCTTCTTATGATGTATCTTAATAACAAAGAAAGCAGAAGCATGCATTGGAAGAGTACATTATTTTATTTAAATAATTAATTTTTTCTTCTTTTCCAAGTTTTTTGTTAGGATTGGATTATCACACTAATGTGCAGAATAATATCTGCTTGTCATTGTATGTCTTAAAGCACAAACATGCCCAGTGTTTTTCGTACTTCAAAATTAACTCACATGGATTTTAGTTTGAGTATATTGATTTTTTTCTTTTGCCTTTCTTATTACATTATCTTAAAATAGATTGTTTTTCACTCTTTCAGCTGTAAATGCAGTGTCCTTGGGAAAGAATGGAGTAGTAGAACTGATGTTTAAGATCATTGGCCCTTTTAGTAAAAAGAACACTAGCCTTATGAAGTAAGTAAGGTCTCTTTAATATAGTACCTGGAGAAACCTTAGATGCGTTTCAAAACTTACTTGTAAATGAAAAATATTATTAGAGAAATCAAATGTAACTTGTATTTGAAAGTTAACGTGAAGGGATGTGGGAAGGACAACCACAAATCTGACAGTTTAATTTTATCCAGTAGAGAAACACAATATATCTGAATGTCTAGTTACAGTACTGATAAAAGAATATAAATACTTTTTTTGTCTGTAATATTCCTGCATGGAAACTGTACAATGGTTGTCCCCAAATCAGGACAAACAGATCAACACAATCCCATCATTTTTCAATTTGTTGAATTGGCTCCTGCATCTCCTTTGTGTTTTTAGAGTGACACTATCTGTTTTATTTTGTAATGGCATTTTCTTTCTGTTTTACTTCAAAGCAATTATAGACTCTCAGAGCAAAAACATAGAACATAGAGTAGGAAGTACCAGCAATATCTGTCTAGTGGGCTATTGTGTTTTTTTTTTTTTTAAAAAAATATTTACTGCATACTTTCAAGTGGTGACTTTAGATTCCCACCACCACCCCATGTATTTTTCTCATTTATTTTTTTCTTTCTTAAATGAATTTAGGGTAAAAATAATAAGTGGATCTAACTTTATACACTACCACCTGTTTGAAGTACATACCTGTGGAAAACTGATTTTTTCATCTGGTTAGCAAAATAATAGTCTCATGTTGTTCATATTCTAACTTCAGTACAAAAGAAATAGTGTTAAGTTATCTAAATGTGGTATTTTTGTTCACTGGATTATCTTTTAAAAAAATGCACTGCCCCTTTAAGCCCCAGCTAAAATTAGACATATGAACTTACAAACTTACTATTCCATGATGTGAGTAATGATGATATCCTTGTTTATGGTTGAAGACCAGATGTGGGAAGTCTTTACAAAGAGGGTAAAAAGTATATATGTTTTCTAGTTGTACATCTTGAGTTAATTGAGACAAGATCTTTGTGTACAAGAAAAATCTTACACTGACCATCTGGTGTTGTAGTACAGATTGATGAGCATTACTCCTCAATGTATTCATACACTGCCACTTTTGACCTACGGTTTTCTAAAATAGTGTCCTTTGCTTTGTGGAAGTACTTGTTCTGCTGCTAACATAAAAACCATGAATTTCAGAAGTATCTCATCCATTGAGTATGGTTCATAAACACTATGTTGTCACTAACAGTGTTTTTTTGCAAAAGCTTACAGTTTGTGTAGCCATTGCATTGATATTTTTAAATTTCACCATCAAACTTCAGATATAGCAGAGATGCATGATTTTTCAGTAAAATCAAATTTTAAAAGCAAAGTCTGTGATACAGTGCAACTAGGAAATCATAAGGATAGATGCTAAATAAATCTGTCAGCCATAAATATTTTGTATAGCTTTACAGTGTTGTAGATTAAGCTTACTGGTTGGTTGCTGTTTTGACTTTTCTTGTTATGTTGACAGGGTTGCTTTAGACACACTTGCTGCATTGCTAAAATCAAGTAAGTGTTTGACTACAAGAAACTGTTTGTCTAGTTGAGATATATATATGTGTGTGTGTGTATCTATATATACACACAGAGCAAAACTAATATTAAGTCTGTAGCCAAAACAAAATCAAGGCTAGGAAATTTAGAAATAAGGCTATGGTTTTATCTGCAGTCTCTGATGCTTTAGTATTTGTGTGGTCTATACATATGTGTTTAATAATTAGTTACTGTCTCTTCAGTTACACAGCAGAAAGGCTGTGCTGCTTCTTCAGAATTGATCTGGATCCAAGGTGGAGAAATAGCTTTTTACAGTCACTCACCTCAGCCCTTCAGTAACAGATGTCTATAGCTTAACGCCTGTGCATCTTATTTATACATACATCTGAAATTATCTGTTGGATGGCAGGGGAAAATACAGAGTTTCTTCAGGTAGCTTGCTGAGTAATTAGGTCTTGGGTCCTAATGACAAGTCTGTCAGTGATGCTCATGAAGTGGAACCAAGGGTAACGAAACGATGGTCTGTTTACAGACATAGGCTATCTTGACCAGCAGCAGTGGATCCTCAGAAATGTCATCTCTGCAGATTTTGCACCAGGATTGTAACTGACAAGGAATTAAAAACTCATTCTCTTCAAACAGTTTTATAAAAGCTACAGCATTCCTAGTAGTTTTGGTGGAGTTGGATAAGAGCCAAGACGTGATTAGATTTGCAGAAAACAATTTCAGACAAATGACAGGAAGCTTTTGTATTGATTATTACAGGGTGCTGAGTTTTCTTATGTAGGATCAGTGTGATACCTTGGTCTTACAGATTTGTGTATTTACTAATACGGAAATTTCTCCTTGGGAAATTTAGGGAAAGCAATATTTCCAAATTATTGTCAGTAATCTATTCTGTAAATTGGCAGTTAAACTTCAATGTTGGGGAAGCAAATTAATTGCTGACAAAGTGCATCTTTAAAACAGGAGGTCTTGTGTATTTATTTTGAGATGTCTTATTCAGTCCTGAGGGTTTTTGACATTGTAACTTCCTACACTTTATATAAGTAAATCTTTTCATAAAAACACTAGTCTCTGGTGTGTAGAGTCCAGCTGTCATACTGATGACCCAGTATTTGGGGTAGAGGTATTTTGAGTTTGTCAAATTTGAGTGATAGTTGCTGCAAAATTGTACGGATTACAAGCGGTAAGAAGTTTGTTTCAAATCTTGTATCTACACAGTGTGCGTGGGTAGAGCTAGGTGTGCTTTATATAAAGACTTTTTTTGTTTATTTGCTAGCTGACAGTTTCTTAAAATTACCTTTAAGTGTAATGCACACTGTTCTGATAAACCGTGAAAATTACATGCAATATTATTCTGAAGACTGAAGTGTAGACTACTGGCCTTGGTTATTCAGTTGTTTCTGTTTAAATTGATGTAGAATTGCTAAGTATGGCTAAAATGCTACTTTAAAGGAAACAATTCAGTTACTTGGCTGAAAAGAATAATTTTAACATTGAACATTTGACATCGAACATTTGAAAATGATATTGAAGTAATCTGGAAATTTTTAATTTTTTTCCTGACTTTCTTTATAAAGAAACAAATGCCAGGAGAGCAGTAGACAGAGGATATGTGCAGGTGCTTCTAACGATTTATGTTGATTGGCACCGTCATGATAGTCGACACAGGTACATGCTGATACGTAAAGGAGTTTTACAGTGCATTAAAAGTGTTACAAACATCAAATTGGGAAGAAAAGCATTCATTGATGCCAATGGAATGAAAATTCTTTACAACACTTCACAAGTAAGTTTATCTCAGTTGTTTTTTGTTGTTGTTGGTTTTGCCTCTTCAGCTTTAAAAACACATCCTGACCTCAAATTTGTCATAGTTCTTTGATATTTGTGGTTATTCCTCATTATGGGAGTAAGGATTATTTTCTGTACCTGACTAAACTGCAATGAAAGAGTACAGAATTAAATTCATACTTGCTATTATTTGGCTTTGACTATTTCTGGAAAGGGCTGTTGAACTTAATTTTAAAAAAGATGGGGGAAAGAAGTATTTTAATTTTGAAGTTTGGGTTTTTAAAAAAGGTAAATTTGAGCTCGTAGAAGTTCTGTCCATCAAATGAGACATTGGCGAAACTTATTGTAAACAAAATACTTCGCTATTAGTGAATTCTAGAAATCTGTAAAACATATGTAGTTTAACTATTAGTTTGAGAGATACTTTTCTCTTGTCTTCATTATTTTCCTGTTAATAGGAGTGCCTTGCAGTAAGAACTCTTGATCCCCTTGTCAACACATCCAGCCTAATAATGAGAAAATGTTTTCCCAAAAATCGTCTTCCTTTACCAACTATTAAGAGTGCTTTCCATTTCCAACTCCCAGTTATTCCTGCCAGTGGTCCTGTGGCTCAGTTGTACAATTTGCCTCCTGACGGTATGGTAATTTCATAGTATTGTGTCTTTGAGTATGTCTAACGTTGTTTTATGTAAAGTGGAATCGATTGCAGTTATTTGTGTTCTCCACTAAAACTTGGACTCTGAGTCTCTTCTCACCTAGCAACGGGTCTGTGACTGTTAGTGTGGAGCACCAATTTCTAACGTTAAGCCTTAACTGATGAAAATTTTGTCCACACATATGTGGTTTTGTTTCTGAGATAAAAAATAAAACAGGAACTAAAATGTGATGTTCATCAAACTCTGAAGGGTAAAGCATAGGCTGTACATATTATTCTACAAACTTAAATGGGCTTTTTAACTCACTTATTATATACATTCTTCTATGTGAAATGTAATGTAGTGTACATCCTGTTTTGCAGGAGTATATATTCTTTGATTTCTTTCTGTTATTCTGGTAAAGTGGATGTAGTGAATTTAGATTAACATGTGCCATTTGAAGCATTTTCCTTTTTAATCATTGTGGTTATTCCTTCATTTGCATGATGAGATAAGTAGAGCTGCTTTCTTGGACCATTGCAGTCACTTAAGCAATGCTTGTCTGCAAAGCATTTGTATGGTGCTTTGTAGGAAATAGATTCATCCCGTTTTGAACACCTTTCATTATTTTGGGATAATTAATGTTTAATGCATTTTCAAATATGGTGAAACAGCTTGGTACCTGGGTAAGCAACTGATGAAGTTGCTGTCAGAAAGTTACTCTAAAATGTTTTTTTGGGCTGGGGGGTGTTGGGTGTTTATTGGTTTTGTTTTGCTTTGTTTAAACCAGAGGTCTTTGATTTGACTTAAAACTGGGTGGAAATGTAATAATCTGCAGTGTTGTCAAACAAGCATTTTGTTTTGTAAATCTGGTAATAGTAATTAATGTTTACTAGTTGGTTTTCACATTTTTTTTCAAGTGCTAAGTAAAAAAGAAAATAAACCCAGACACAGAAATTTTTTTCAGCGTATGTATTGGATTAAATGTATAAACTGCCTTACAAAACTTTTTTGTATCATAGTTGATGATGTAGTAGATGAAAGTGATGATAATGATGATGCTGAAACAGAATCAGAAATTGAAATTGAAAATGATGACGACAAGGACCAACATTTCAAGGTTGGTATGGGACAAAATTAACAGGCAAAAGTCAGGCATAACAGTTTTTTTTATTTTTTTTAAGTTGCTTGAATCATGTATACAGACATATGTTTTAAGTGTTAAAAGGACTTTGAGGAGATTTTCAGGGCAATTTCTAAAATTAAAAAAGCTCCTGAAACTTAAGGAAGGTTGATGCTGCTTGAAAAGATCATTGCTTCAAGATTTTTATTAAAACCTGTTTGCTTCACACTTGATATGTCTGGAGTACAGTAGCACAGAACTGCAAACTCTTTTAGCAGTGTTCTCTTCCTAACTTGTATTTCTCTGAGTCCGCTCTTCGTACCGAAGCTGCTCAGTATGTAGGAGCTACTCTAACTTTTTCCGTCATTCTGGACTGGGATTGACTAGGTCAGTGTTTCAGGAAGGTGACTTTGAAGTTCAGCCAACTGTGGAGGTAGAGATCAGACTTGTCAGTGTTGGATCACTTTGGGAAGGTCTTGTTCTGCTCTCCAGCTGCCAGTCAGGACATGAAAGGACATTATGTCAGAACTAACTCTATATTTTTATGTTTCATATATTCAGGAGTTAATTGAATTGTCTGTCCATGGTCTGGAATGACAAATTTTACTCAAGGTTCTTATGAGCCCTGATGAAGGGAGTATCTTCCATAGAAGCAGTTACTCCGTTGTCACTGCAGTCAGATGAAATCTCCACATTCCAGGTTGCAATAGTTGGATTATGCACAGATCTCATGTAAAGTGTAGTCTGATGTCCGTGCATAATACATTTGTATGAAACAAGAAAACTGAGATATTTGTAATATTTCTGTTGAAATTGAGGCTTTGGCATACTAATAAAACTGAGCTGCTTAAACCGTCATGGTGAAAGGGTGCAGTTCAGCTAATTTTAAAATGGTGGTATTCAGCTTTTAAAGCATAGCCATGTCAGAGGTAAAAGATGAATGTAATTATTTTAGAAGTTCATTAATTCTGCATGCAAGATTAATTTGTTCTGGTGCTCTTTCAGAATGATGATATTGAGACTGATATTAATAAACTGAAACCTAGACAGGAATTGGGAAGACCCATAGAAGAACTGAAAATGTATGAAAAATTTTTCCCAGAACTTTCAGAAAACTTTCAGGTAAAGTATGTGGTTCCCAGAGCATTCCTCGTCATGATGGGGTTGACTCTGGAATACACTTTGACATTCTCTTTTGGGTGGATAGTTCATCTAGACAAAAAATGAGAGTCTGCAGTTCTAGAGCTACACATGAGAATGCTATATAGTGAGTTATTTAGTTAATTGTTATGGGTTACTTTAATCTCACTAAGAAGGGGACTGTGGGTAGATATAAAGGAAGACTGTTTTCTGATGTCTGATTATTGCACAGAGAAGAAAGTAAAATAGTAAGAAAGGACACGAGATTTCTGACAAGATTCATTGTATTAGGTATTTCCTTAGATGCTGTGTGTCTCTTTAAAGTAGTTGGTAAAAGTATCTGGGGAACTGTATTGACTTTGTAATTTGTTATTGATGAACTACTTGTTTGTTGCCTTGACACTATGTTCTTGTAAAAGCTGAAACTTCATGGCTCTGTTTTTGTAAGTTTAAAACATAATGACTGTTGTCTTTTAAAAGACTTGTTTTGGATTATTGCAAAATGTACCTCAGGAACAATGAAAGAGAAAGGTTTCTAATATAAATGAAACATTAAGAACTGTTTACTTTTTTTTTTTAAATAACTCTTATTATTTTTTCTCTTTTATTTTTTAAGGAATGTGATTTGGTTTCCAAGGAACCAAAGCCTTTTGTACCTGATGCAAATCTGAGCGGACCTATTGTTGTTCCTACAGCAGAGGAGGAGCACTCTGATGAAGCAAATCAGTCAATGAAAGGAGTTGCTTTGAAGAAGACCAATCCTTTATTGACAGAGGAATACAATAGAAGGCCAGCCTTTCTGGAACTACCAAAGAAAGACAGTATGAATGACAACAGTTTACATCAGCAAAATGATCAAAGAAACCTGCTTCCATCATGCCAGTGTCTAAGCCAAGAAATTGTGAAAGGCTTGGACAGAATCAGTCTGCAGAACAGTGCAAAAAATGATCAGTATTACGGTACAGGGTGTGTCATAAAGAAGGAAAGCAAAACGAGCCTTACCACACTTGCTTGTAGTAAACCTTGCGAACACGTTTCACCCTGTGGAAGTAGCCTCTTTGAAGGATCATCTGTCCAGCTGGGAAAACTCTGCTGCACTGGAGTAGATTCGGAGGACGAGGAGGATTCCAGATCTAGTTCATCAGGGGAACAAGTAATACTTGAGGTTTCGGATGTATCACCAGTTCATGACTGTGATCTTTATATTGAAATGGTAAAAACCACAAAGTCTATTCCTGAATATTCAGAAGTGGCCTATCCAGATTATTTTGGCCATATTCCACCCCCATTCAAGGAACCTATTCTGGAAAGGCCATATGGGGTGCAGAGGTGAGTTATCATACTCCTTTTTTGATATTTTTGTTCCCTTGAGAAACAGTCTTTAGGATGAGATTAACAGGCACATATACAATGTTTACTTTGGCATCTAAAACTATTTTCAGTGAAAAGCAGTATGAAGGTAGGTGAGTAGGCATTGATCAGTGCTGAGCCATAAAGAACACAACCTGATTCTGTAATTGCTAATTCTGTAATTCAGTTTCCAAATACTGAGTTTAATTTAGAGTCTCCCTTTCTGTATTCCTACTATCCCCCATCTAAATTTTGTAGTTTAAAAAAACCCAAACCAAAACCAACAAAAAAACAAACAAACAAAAAAAAACCCTAAACAACCCACATAAAACCCCAACAAACAAACAAACCCACCTGAATGCTCCCTTCAGGTCTTAGCAAAGATAAGACAGTTAATAGTTTAAAGATACTTCAGCTCTTCTCTTTGCTGTGCTAACAAAGCTATCTTGCAGGAAAACGTAGTGGGAAAATTAAAAAAATAATAATTTTAAGTTTTAGTGCTTGCAGTATAACAGAATTTAGAGGTAACAAACACTGAGGATGAAAGTTTATGTCAGATCCTGCAGAATTGTCACCGTTTAAGGCTGTGCAGATGCTTAAAGCGGGTGGCAGATGCTCTGTATTAACCCCTTCCTTTCCCAGAAGGGGAAGGAGAGGAGAAAAGGGAGAGAGATTTATGGGTTGGAAAGTTAAAACAAACTTTAATAAAGCAATAACAATGAAAAAGAGTATAATTAATATTTAAAATAGTACCACCAGTAACAGAAATGGAAACATATAAAACCAATATTGATCTTCTAATGATGACTGTGGGACCACGTGCTGCACTGCGACAGCTTGCAGTGCTCGCATGGCAGCGTGGGCACCTGGATGTCCCAAACTGGACTCCGCAGGAGACAGGAACTGGATTCAGGGATGCACGGATCAGAGTTGGAGGCCGGGGAGCAGGCAGAGTCCTACCAGGATGCTGGCCATGAAGGAAAGAGGGCTGACCCACATGATCCCTAAGCTTTATACCGAGTATTCCTGTGGGTGGGATGGAATACTGCGTTGGTCAGGCCTGGGTCACCTGTCCCCTCTGCAGCTTCCTGGGGGTGCGACCCTTTACCGCCTTGCCTCCACACGGAGCCCAAGAGAGCCCGCAGGGAACACACACACACCCTTGGGCCTTTCTGCATAATGATACCGCTCCTGCCCCAACAACAACTACAGACATGAACCGCCATCAACTCTGAAAGCAGTCACTGCCTGAAACCTGTAGTCAGCTTCAGAAAGTGCAGTTACTAAAAAACTTAACTGAAGGAAAAGAAAGATTCTACTGAAAGGAGAAATGGTCCTGTTTTAGCCGAAGCAGGACGTTCCACCCCTTACTCCATACCATTCCCGTCATACTTGGCTCACTACTGTATTTTCCCAACTCCAACTAGTTATACATATATACATATGTACATATATACAGACATTAGTTTATGGTTGGAGGTTTCCATCTATCATAGCAGTCTCTCAGGGCAGGAGAAATGGTGTGAGATTTAGCATGGTTTGTGCCCACAGGTTGCAGGTTAAAGGTGTC